AGCTAGATTGCGTCAGTTGAGTTTATTGGCTGACAAGCATGCGATGCTGGTGAAACTGCACTAATAGTTCAAATGCACTGGTGCAGCATTTTGATCCACCACACAACCAATTACCTCTTTTTACACCTCAATAACCTTCTCGCTTTGACGGGAACTCACATTACCCTAATTACTGTGCAGACGTTACTCTTAATTCCCCACGGATATGCGTGCGTTTTGACTCACCCCTCTGCAGCATCTCCAACCATGCTCCTGCTCATTTCGAAACCACCTACGTGTGATAGCTGTCAAACGGTTTAAGGTGAAGCATGATAATGAGCTCCGAAGATGTTGTTTAGACCAAACGTGATTGGCTGTGCTTTTAATTAGAACAGAAATGACACACTCGCCTACTGAGCGATATTGATGAAAAGTGAAATTCAACGCAGAGATTAATGTTATGTAGATCTAGCAGTGCTGGCGGTCAGGTTGGTTTGACGACTCTCTTGTGCCATACGCTACTTCGGAAGAAATGTCATTGCCAACCTAACTGGTCGCCAATTGTTCAAAGCATGTCCTGGAAGTTTGCCATGGAGTAGCACTTGATGCTGCCTGTTGCGGTGACATTTTCATACTCAAAAATTACAACTTATGTGCGAAGACTTCACCATCGATTGTTTTGCCGCCACAAGAGCAACGATGATTTAAGGGTTCAGGCAAGCAATTGGTTAGGTTATTTGCAAAATTCGGTGTAGTTGGAATGCTTGACATGAAGGTGGTGTTAGCATTTCTGAGTAATTGACCAACGACATGGAGGTCTACTAGGCTTTTCTCTTTAATTCCCACAAAATGTAATTTTATCTTGGTATGGACCACAGTGATTAGAACCTGGGCGCATCCGGATGTGAGATCTGGCAATTTCTTCCTAAGAATCCTGTGATGTCAGTTACAGCTGTCTGGGCAAACATTTTCTACTAACACCTAGATAGTAGAGACCTCTTACTGCGAGCATTGGCATTCAACAGCAGAGTCCGACAGCACAGCAGAAGCGTCGCATTCATCCAGTATCATTGCACACAAGCGGATAACAATAAAGCGCATTATTCCCTACAGACATTAGCGCCCAGGTCCAATGTGACACACCAGATCCGTCAAGGTCAAATGCTGATTCGGTACGCTTGACAGCGAATAGGAGTCATCCTGAACAATAAGTGTCAACACAATGAAAAGTACAAACAATACTTGTTAGACAGTGAACGCACACAGAAAGTATGCGGCACACAGCAGTCGCCAATTCCTGTCAGTTTTCATCATGGACTCTGCTCGACCACTGGGTGAATTTGAAGCTGCTCTAACGGTAAATCAATGGTGAGGCAATGTATCAACCGAGGCTAACATGGTAAATGTTGCAGGTGGTCTCCCCATAGCTTCTTCTCCATCGTTATGGATTTTGTGACCGTGGCATTTTACTGTTCACAATTCAAATGTGAGTGTGGCTGAGAAGTCAAGCTGAAGATGGCCTTACCTGAGCGCAAAATCGTAGCAGTGAGTTACGGTGTCGGGATGTGGAAAACACCGGTAGCTCGAGGTAAAACCATTACTGTACGCTCACTGCTTAATGCCTTCAGTGATATACGTACCCAAACATCTCGTGCGGAAGCAGTCGGACTGCGCTTGTTCATCATTGATGTGTGGAAACAGTCGGAAAAATAATGGATCAAGTTGTGGAATAGGCCCGACTTATGGGGTGTTTTTAGTGGATATGCCAACGACATGTCGCATTGGCATTAGAGGCGTGTTGATACGCAGAACGGCCTAAGACTGTTAAGTCCCCCCGCTGTCGCAGCTGAACCACCACCAGAAGGTTAACGATTGCTCACGTTGCTGAGAAATCAAAGTCTTATTTGGGTTTGGATTTTAGACATTTCATTGATGGATCTTGTGTTCGCATTTTACCTTTTTTAACTGGGCCGACGTTGTGTCTCGCATTCTTCACAAAGCCAACTGTTGGCTTACGACTATTATGTGAGAGGGGACCCTTGTTGTGTGATTGAACTTGCGCAGATTCTAACAGCAACAACCCGATTCACTCATCGGTGGAATTTGGTTATCGACTTGCTAGTTTCGTGTTGATCAGTTGACCAGCATGTGGTCTTGGACCACGCCAGGGCCACTGAGTTGAATTTGGCCCCATTACGCTTCCCTGCTACCCTCGACGAAGTAGAAGACGACCTGGGAGAGCGTGGACACAACCGTTTACTTCATACCTCAACCGAGTTGGTGTCGTTGCGTCGAGCGTGGCGTTTGCGTGTGTGTACTTACAACTCAGATATGTGAAACTGTGTGAGTCATAAATGCACTAACATCGAGACCTAGGTGTGGAGATAATCCAGAATAATCGTTCGCGCTAATGAGGGAGGAGTTAAGGTTCCGCGTGGCCAACGACGTGCTGTGAACTGGTGGACACCGTGCAAGAGGCTGCAGTGACCGGATTAACGAGTGTGCGTCAACGCGGTTCACAACGAATCTTCTAGCAGCATCAGGTTTTGATGCATTCGCACCCATGGCGGAAACAGAGCGAGAGGTGGCTGCATGCATCGGTGTTTTGCTAACTGCCAAGACGAGGAACTATCCTCATAAATGGCACTAGCGGTCGGTAAAGTGCATGCGCAAACGTGCACAAGTGCAAGCCAAGTGTCAACTGCATACGTGGTGTGTTTGGATTTAAGTGGTCACCTGGAAAGCGAGAAGGCTGAGTGGAATTGCATCGACACGGAAGCACTCTTGTCCATGAAAACATCCAGCCAATGACTGACGCAAATGACATCCTACAATCGGCACCTGGAGTGGTAAGCGCTACTCCGCACAATTTCAGAAGTACAGCCGCAAGGTCAACAGTTATAAATGAATGCGGCCAAAAAACGCAGGATTGTGGCGTCCAGGCACGACGTGGTACAGTTCGCGTCTTCGTCCACGGTATTGGAGATGTTGAGAGAGCGGTGCCTCGGCTATGTGTTTGGCAGGATTTCCGCAATCGCTGGTAATTTTAATTAGAGACGGAAACGGTCGAATGGTAAATTAGATCATAAGCGCCTTCTAAGGTGACCGAGATGGCGAAATAACCGAAGAGTAAACTGAGTCCCTCGAAAAACAGACAGCTATTGATAAGTTCTACATATGGACCACCTCTACTGCCAGGAAAATTCAGCTTCCCTACGATCCAGCAACGTGCACCTGAGCGAGCCTGCCATTCACCAAGCTCACTGACCACAAGCATCAAAAAACGAAGACCAAATTCTTACCACTATTACAATTGAACAAGCAGCTGATTTTTGCGTACATATCTGGAGTCGAGCAAATCCTATTTAACACTTTGCATCTCGAGTGGTTTGTCAGTTCAAGAAAGGAACAGAAATGATTTTGGAAAATTTATTATGAGAACTTTAAAAAAAAACAATTTGCAGGCCTGAATGATTCCACAACTTCTAGTCATCCAAATCAGTCGCATTTGGCGATCCCGATGACACCACAGGCGACCCGTGACCCTGCATTGCCAGTCGACAGGCTCAATTCGTGTCCCCCAAGACCCAAGTCGTCTGGATCAGCGTGAACCTGCAAGTGAACGCACGTGCGAGGTTATTGCTCTGCTTCTGGCAATGCCACTTTAATCGAGACACTCAGTAAAACAAGTCGCGAAAAGCGCAAACCAAATAAACGGGGAATACAACGTCCACGAGAAAACCACAACGTACGATCAGTGGATCAGAAAGAAGAGAAGGATGTCCCGCAAAAGCAGCTACAGGATTATGGATCAAATACAGTTACAACCGTGAGAAAACACGCAAGATGGTCAAGTTAAAACACTTCCTGAGTATGTTTTGTTTGCCTGAACTTCCTAGATTTAGGTTAACTAAAGCAGGAAGGAATTCTGCAATACGCTAAACAATGTCATGGAAATAAAATACTTACCACAAGACATCTTCCAACGACAGAGTGCTCCCCAGAAAGAGAAATCACTTTGTCAGTGATGCTGTACGTCGCCTTGCCGCTGGCGTCAGCAACAACATTCCCAAGATCCCCGACGTGACGCTCTGCCGCATCCGGACTGCCGTGGTTTTTGTTGTGCGGGTTGAAGTGAGCTCCGGCTGAAATGCATCCGTTAGTAGTGTCGCCGAACTCGTGAACATGGAAACCATGCTTCCCAGGCTTGAGGCCCTCGATTTCCGCATGGACCTCAACGCTGTCGCCCTGAAAAAGCAATAAACGAATATGAAGCGCAACTACCGGTGCAGAGGGACACGGGCATTTGGAAAAAATGGAATTGAATGTGAGCTTGTAAAAAGAGGACTGCAGCACAAAAATTATACAAACGGTAAGTCAGGATAATTAAGGGAGCTGCACAGGTAAAGCGAAGACCACAACAAGCATAAGAGACAACTCGTAAGAGCAACCGAAAATATGCTTTGCGATTTGTAGACTGTTCGTCACTAGGCTGGTTAGTGGAACCACAATGAATAGCGAATTTAAAAAATCCCCAAAGCTACGAGATATGAACACACTCAGTAAAGAGGGAAGTCAATACCTTTGACGAGTTAGATGGTAAAAATTTAGGAATTTGTCGGCTTGTTTGGAAAAGAACTAACGATTAAAGGGTATTCATGTGCTATAAATGAACCACAATACATAGGCATCGACTACCACAGAGCCTAAGTGATAGTCAAAAATAATAGTGGAATACAGGAGTAAAAGTATTATACATTCACTCATGGTGCAGTCTGTTACAGCTGCAAGAGAACGAAGTTTCAAACTTAAATAAGAAAAAAAGCTGCAGCAAAAATTCAACACATCTGCACTCACAACTTGCGTAAAACGGGCAACCCCTTTTACGCCCTCCTCTCCCTTCAAGACGCAAATAGCTTTCTTCTTCATGAAACTGATAAACGGACGAAAAGTTGTACTTTGGGTGTCCCTAGCCGGGGCTGGCCGGAACGTTTAAAACAATTGAATCATGACACACTAAAAATGGCTGCAGATCATACACTTTAGAGAGCAAGAGCAAGTAATTTAATTACAAAAAAATATACATAAGAAGCAGGGTTGTGTGATCGAATGTTCAGGCCCTATCGAAATGTGCTTTTCACAGTCTCTTCATTACGGACTGAACATCATATTTTGAAGCAGATTATTCACCTTCAGTCGTAGTTTATAGTTAAGGGCAAAGGTCTTACCTAAAATAAATCGAACCGATTTCACAGTATCACATGAACTCAACTAACGCAATATGCGTATTTATTTTCGTTTAGCAGTGATTACTTCACAAATTAAAACCATCTATATTTATACATTTATTTTTATGACTTTCTATTGATTTAAAAAGAAATTTGATATATTATGTGCTTCTGTTTTATTGCTTTCTAAGAATATGTAATATATGTTCATTCAAAACTGAGAGAAAATAAAATTGAACATTAGGAAATTAGCGCACGAAATTTTATTCATCTTAATAATGTACTTTTGCATTTACATTGCACTTACTTTGCTTCTTTAAAAAGGGATGAAATAATGTGGAGAGTTCTATTATAGCCGATTAATGATTAGGTTAAACCATAATTTGACCACTTCAAATATATTATTGTTTTTTTCTGCGAACATCTTATCCACATTAATTGAAGTCACACTGAATTTCTATGCCGTAGCAATTTTAAGAACGTTTGCACAATATAACTATTTCTTTACTTTACGATAACTATTCGGTAATTTATCAACTCTAGCAATTAACAGTACTAGAGTCAAATAACATTGAGATAGCGATTAATTTATTTCCATTGGAGAACATTTTTAGGCTAAGTTATGTTATTGGTGTTAGTTTTGAGAAGTTTTGCGATTTGCTGCAGACTATCTACACTAAATGTTTGGAAATGTTTTTGGAAGTGTGCTCGCAATAACGTGAAGTTAAGTTGATATAAATAAACCTGGTTCAAGATGAACATGATGGCTAATTGTATAACAGATTGATGCGCACTTTGTAATGTTGTCTTTATGTGTCTCTGGACAATTTGTAATCTTTATCATTCCTATTTGGACATTTAAAAAAATAAGCACAATTTGATTGATTTACTACACTTTAAACCTATACCTGCGGTACATGGTAGGCAATCGTTCATCACTTTAACGCTTTAAAATTTGTTTTTAATGAATCGTATACACCTTTCCACATTACCCCATCTTAACCAACTCGTTTTACATAATCACTAACTTTGAGTTTTTAACCTAAAACAGCAAAATAGCAATAGCGAATGAGTGAAAATAAAATTGTCAATTGGAACATGCCCTTTTTATGGACTAAAATCTAGAGTAATTCAATCGGAACCCATCACCTTAATATTCTCCATAAATGTATTGACTAACAGTAAAATTAAACCAACTCTCCTATATGTAATTTATTTATACACCTAACACCAAATTTTCATTATATAATGAGTGCAAAATGCAAATTATTTTAGCTTCCAGTATTTCAAAACCTTAAAAGTCAGAAAATACAATTACAATGTTTGAAAAGCACAATGAAAAGTTTGCAAAAACTGAAAGGTAGAAAAAGCATCCCAAAGGCCATTGGAATTAAGGTGAAGTAAAATGCTCGTAAAGTAGGTTTATCAATTCAAAAACAAACTAAGATACCAGAAATAGTTTTGGGATTAGTGTGTGGATCACATATGGTGGAATGCCTTGCGACATAATCTTTACTAGAAGACTTTTGAACCCTACAATTACCTTTTAATAAAAATCTTCAGAGCCTAACCATGTTATTTAGGTTCTCAACGCAAAAAAATAGTTCTCATTAACTTTATAATTGATTTTAACAACTTTAACTTTGTAATGGGCCCATAGATCCATCTCACACATTGAGCCTATTACCATTAAATACTGAAATGTGAAGTCATAATTTAAGTTTTGTAAAGGTTTTTAAAACCATGTTTGTAAATGGTACTAGTATACAAACCATCAGTTTCACAACACTGGCTAATTAGGCAAAACTAACAGAAGAATTTCTAATTGCTATTAAACATATGAGTTTGGAGTTATAACCAAAGTAATACAACCTAAATCCGCTGCTAAACAGACAAATGAAGTTGAAATAAGAACAAACAGAAGTGATGGATCCTGGACCTCAGTTTTGTAAATGAACATATTTTAAGTAGTTTACAGAAAGGCGAAAACAGGGGTAAGTTGAAAAGCCAGGAAACGCAAAGACAAATGTTACAATATCTGTATGTAGTCCATAATTGTCATGAAGTTATCGTTGGTTTTAACTTGTCGAGCATCCTTGAGTACGCAGGAGAACGTTTTGCGATATTTTAAAAATATAAATTTAAGTAATCTCCTTTTCCCAAGTCTACTAAATCCTTTAAATTCAAAAACTAATAAATGACATGACTAGCATCCATAGCGCTAAATTTAATTTAGCTGGAAAAACTTAAATCACGTTGTGCAATAAAAGGCGAAAAAATGTTAGTTATTTCATGGAATGTGATACTTCATTTCTGACCGGAAATGATGTTAAAACTGAAAATTTAGGTAGTATCAGAATGGAATTTTAAATAAGGCCTAGATGAATTTCTTAGCTGCATTAACTACTATACACCTATGTAATTTATCAGTAGATAATACAATTAGTTAAAATATATAAAATTTCAAAATTAAAAGCATTGTTAAAGGCATTAACATGTCGTCTTAAACAACACTAGGGCTTCTTCGTTGTTCTGGCCCTATTACTCTACATGGATATCACGGTAAAAAGACGTAGTTAATTGTGTTAATTTACGCCCAATAAATCACGTCCACGTTTTCACGCCCCATCCGTCAGTCACTTGGACCGCCTGTTCATTCACCTTTATGTATGTACCACCACTACCCGCTCTGTCCATATGAAAATTCAGACGTCGGTATTTTTACTAGTTCATTTAACTGTATCTGTCAGCAAACATAGCTGCGCTGTGCTGTCTAGTCAACGGGTGTGACTCGTCCCCTCTGATCTCCTTCATCTTCGCGGGCACTCAGGGTAACGTAATCGGCGTAGCTTTAAGGCAACATGCCAAGGCACTCAAACAGAAATTGAAGAAAGCGAAGGAAAACCGCTAATTAGGTGGCTCAGCTTTACTGCGTTTATCTCGCTCGGGTGTTTATTGAGGCGCATGGCGAATAAAGCTTTCGACCAACAGAAAATAGATGAACTAGTTTGGGTATTTGTGACTGAATGGACAGATGACTGAGACGGGTAGTGTGTGTGAGCATAGATGCTTCCGCACGACTGAGAGACATACAGTCAAATGAGTGTCTTTGCTCATTTAATGTATCATCGCCGCAGGTCAACAATTTATAATTTTACTTTGAGGGACAAACAGACTGAAAAGATCATAAAAACTTTAACCAAACCAATCAAATTAAATGAGGATTTGTAAATACCAAAATACGGGATTTGTTACTAAATCACCGCTAAAAACGGCGCCATGCAAAGACTTCACCTTTATTCTACGAATCGGTTTGTCAATTTCCGATTATAGGATTATTTTCAGGTGACAATTTCACAAATAGCATTTACGGTGTAAGCGTTTCGATATTTAAAGTCCTGCGGTAATCATAGGGTTATTGTGGCAGTTTAAAAACTTATTGCTGAGGTCAATGATGATGATTATTCCGCAGTTAACCGTTCTGCACACTTGTGATGATGTTATTACTGTTATCGCAGTTTGCGGCCTTAACATTATGTCACATTGTCTGTCAGCATGATCTGTTATTGACATGCGATTTATCTACAGCTTGTTAAAGAATTTCGGTTGTACCAAAATTATGATGTCGCCATCTTCACGAGTTCACATATCTGTTGTGGGTACAGGTAGTCCTGGAACACCCAAAAGCGTCCTAATATGTACTGATTCTACGCGATACCTTATTAATTGTGGCGAAGGTACTCAACGAATTTTAACGGAGCACAAGTATGAACCATCATTTCTAATACCTATTCCTCAGGTCAAAAGCTTCAAAAATTCAGCATGTATTTTTCACTCGAATGTCTTGGAGACATTTGTCAGGCCTTCTTGGCATAGCCCTAACAGTCAGAACCGCTGGTGTGAAGAGGATGTTTGTGCACGGCCCTCCAAGCGTGGTACATTTGCTTATATTGCTTTATTACTCCTTCTTTTTGTCTCCTATTTCTTTTTAGTGTTCTTTTTAAATTTGATGTATTAATATACTTTCTGTAATACCATCTTTGTAGGTCGAGCTTATGAAATTGACGAGGCACTTTGCAGATGCTAATACAACTGAAGTTGGTAAGCTTTTTTATTCTACCTCGAAACAAATTTAATCGCCTATTTTTGTAAACCTTAAAATGCCATATTTTGTCGCGCCGATTCCTGAGTAAAATCTTCCACGTGTACGCAGATGGACAGATTTCCATTTTATCTATTTCCTCCACGCTTTTATCACAATTGATGCCAGATTTGTTTCGCTCTTAATTTTTAGTTAACATGTTACCCCTGATTTTAGTGCAAAGTGACATCCTCCAGAAGCCATTCTTGGATTCCGACTTCAAAATAACTGCTTTTGAATTGGACACCAAAGATACCTCGTTGGAACCACGTATGCATCTTTGAATTCTTGCTACCCGTGACTTAAAATTTTTGGATCCCATCTTGGGTTAGTGGTCATCTGACCGCCTCCTAACCCTCTATTTTAAAATACATGTTAATCTGGATAGTTTGTGATACTGCCAACTTACAATTCGTAAGTCTGTAACTTGTGCGCTAAAGTAAATCTCCGTTTATTCAAATGCAGGTGCAAAGCGAGTCCACCTTGACGATACATCCCAAAGCCAGCCCATTTATGCCTACCTATTTCAGGTACTTTGTGATTTCTAATAGTCTCTATAATCTAGGGCCTACGATTGAGAAACAAGCTGGATCCTGCCAAATGCGTCGCCTGTGGCATTCCAGCGTAAGTTTTGCTCATGAATCACTCAAATAGTCGTGATCGAGGTTTCATGTTAGAAATTTCGGCGAGGGGGTTTGTCAAGTGGGTGTTCGAATTCACTTGGTGATAGTTGGGTCGTGAGTGACCGATTGCCAAATAAAATGTATCTAAAACAGTTGGTCCGTAGTCTCTGCATTTTTTTCCCATGGAGTGATAACTAGCAACTTCATGCTTTCTGCCTGTTTGAGCGAAGCCACCACCTGCTCGGTAAAATACGTCCCCTCTTGACACATGAGGTCGAAAGTTGCCAGTAATGACTTAACACGCTTTTCCCTCGTTTAGCTCCGTCCTGCATTCTCCCAAGATACGACAACTCGTTGATGGCCAGCCTCTTGTTTTGGATGATGGTAAAACCGTACGTTACGCGTTTTTGTTCTGATTCACTGCAACTTTGCTACTCTAAGAGCTTTGTGTGTGTGTATGTGTGTGTGTGCATCCCACTTACTGTACTACATTGAATGGTTGCTCTTTTACATTGACACTAATCACATGCTTGAGCTCGCGAGGTGCTCATGTTGCCGGAATTTGGTGTATGAATCCACCTTGAACGACCTTGCGGTGACCTTGGCTTAAATTTTCAGATTTCACCACAAGACGTCACCATCCGCGCGCCCAGCCCCCGAAATCTACTCGGTAAGTCAGTGCATTTCGATGAGTTGTGGAAATTCGGCTTTTCGTACCCACTTTTAGTTTGATGCGCGCAATTCGACAATAAGTCTTTTAAACGCGAGTTTTGAGAAAGGCCAAGTCAGCGTTTATGGAGTGTCAGTGGTGACGTTATCAGCAAAGGGGCCCGTCCGAACAGACTCACTTCATGTCGATTGGTGTTGAGCACCGGGAATAGGCCATGTGCCTCGGTAGTCTCCCCGTACCGGAGCGTTAAAATCACCAGCTATGACAGACCTCGGTTGCCCCCTACCTGTGCCCTCCACTGCTTCCAAAATTCACCTATCCGATTTCGCTGCACCTTCACTTCGCCTCCATTGGCCGGTGCAATGTAGGGGGTCGTGATTTAATCGACTAACTGTTGCTTCCTGCAGACATTTCATGTTCCAGTTGGCGTCCAGAATGCTAGCTAGTAGAACAGCCATTTGGAATGTCACAACCTCAAAACCAACTCCACACCACCGGGTACTGGGTTAACCCCTGTGATTTGCACTGTAGTGCTCGAGTGCCCCCACGAGTCGTACATCCCGACGCTTCAGCAGGCCGACCAACTCTTCGCCGCCATCCGCTCTCCGCGCGAAGGCGACCCCGAGGAGCCCGGAGGCCTTGTTCCAGGAGTCACCCTCGCCGTCCACTTCGTCCCTCCGGGGCTTTTCGAGTCCTCCGCCTACCAGACTTTCGTTGCTCGGTGCGTGTAAGAATTTGTTGCATGTCGGGGGGTTGATTCATTGCAGAAGGGTGCCATTTTGGGCTTCTGGACACGTCATCTCTTCGGATTTCGTTATCTCTGATTTCCTTGTTCTCGCTCTGGCTCGACCAATAGGAAGTGACGTCTAGTCGCAACACTACTATGCTACTGGTGACCACAGAAAGCAGTAGAATTTCAAGCGCTTAGTTGGGTGGTGAGGTTCGAATAAGCAGGACCCTGTCATGGACCCCATGTTGTAATTGATGACACTGCAACACCAAAACAATGCCTTGTAGAAAGCGGGCGAATTCAAAAATAGCGCTCGACGAGCTAACCAGAACATTAAAACATAGCGGGCGAATCAGAATAGCATGGCCACTGTAGGAAGTGGTGTTAATTCGTCTTTTTACCCTGCGTAGCCTGGATCAGTGTGGACAGAGGGCAGAGGAGGGGGAGGCGGAGGAAGCAGGCGGTGCCCAGTCGTGCGGTGTCCACCACCTCGTTGTCGACGGCAGCGACGCGCGTCCCGTCTGTCCGCCGGTCACCGGCATCTACGGCCAGTCGGTTGTCCTCAACACGCACTTCGACCCAGCCGTCTACCCCCAACTCGTGGATCTCTGCTCGGTCGAGGTGCGCTAGCTCCCGACACCTCAACTCAGTGTGCACAGCTGACGTTAACTCGGGCTTTCTTTTTTGTGCAGGCCAAACCTGATCTCTCCGCGGTCGAGGCCTTCTCCCGTGTGGTCTACGCCCAGCCGATGCTTCGCTACTTCCTTCGACCTCACAGCGGATTCTCCACGTACGCGCGCGTGGTTTGTTTAGCGTGTGTGTGTGTGTTAAATCCAGCATCCCTAGAACCATTTGTAAGCTCAACACCTGTCGCTGGACGTATTGACACCTGCGTGGTGGCTGCCAAGCTGCGATTTCGTGGAATTTGTGTTGTGTTTTTAGCGAGCACTGTGTGGCGCTGGATGCGCAGGACTTGATTCAACAGGCGTTCGACCCGCTCTACGTCTCCCAGGCGGAAGCAGACACGGCGTTCGCGGAGATGCGTCGGGAAATCGACGTGGCGATCGACAAGCGGACCAGGGGTGAGTGTGTGGTTCCTTACCCTTCGGAGCGTTCACGACGACTTCAAACGACTTCATCTTGTTGATATTCGTGTCATGCTCTACAACACCTGTAAAGGTTCTACGACGACAAGTTTAGCACCCAAGTTAGCAAAAGGCGTTGTTGGCTTTGTACAAATATTCCAAATAATCCGTTCAGTTGTCTGAATAGATGTTGGTGAATTTGAGGGTAAGCGTGGGTTGATTGGCTGGTTGCTTCTAGTTCACCCCCTCTATGTGTTCTCAAAGTTGATCTTAGCGGAAAGAGACGTGTCGTTTCGTCTTCGGTTGTCACGAAATCTCGTCAAATTCTATCCATCCATGTGGAAAACGGAGTTAGCCAATAAGAATACAGGGCTTTGATTGGATACATAACTAACTACTAACAAAGAGTCAGTAACATGTTTTTCCAACGAAGCAATGATGTAAACGTTTTTTAACTGACGACACCAGGTGATGTAAAATCGCGTTTGGACGACTTGGATTGGCCCGAATTCACCTTCTTGGGAACCGCCTCCTCTTCACCCAGCAAATATCGCAACATCAGCGCGATTCTTGTGCGTCTGAGGTGAGTTAACTTGGCGATTGCAAGTGACTACTGCGACGCTGCGACTTAACTCATCGCATTGCATTGTTGCTTTGCTTTGTCCAACAGTCCCAACGACTGCATCCTCCTCGACTGCGCCGAAGGCACCCTCAACCAGTTGTACGCGCTTCACGGCGCCGCAGAAACGCATCGTCTGTTGCGTGGACTGCGACTTGTGCTCATCACCCACATGCACGCCGACCACCACGGTGTAAGTCGCTCACTTGCCTTCTCTTTACTGCTCCTCAAGCCCTCAGCACCTCTTGCGTATCACTGATTGGACCGCTGACTCACGTGACCGCAAATTTGAGCCAATGAGAAGTGACGTAGGCGTCATGTGACTAAGTAGGCATCAGGGGAGGCGTAAAACGACCGCGTAGTGAATACTTGTAAATGCCATTGTTATGAAGTGGGTTTTTTTATCTACGCAGGGTGTCATAACGATAGCACGGAAGGTGTACGACCTCACGCACAACACCGCAGGCCTGCCAGTGCTGGCACCGCCGCCGTTCTGGAAGTGGGTGAACAGCTACACGACGTTCTTTGGCGGCGAGAACCGCGTGCGCCTCTTCCCCATCACTCGCGTCTACGAGGCTCCAGATCTGGCCTCGACTGCGGCCGATGGAACCGACGCCTGCGACCCCATCTGGCGGCTGCGCGACACAAGCGAGGATCTTGTGTTCGATTGGACCAAAATCCTGTCCGATTTGCACCTAAAGGTCTTTTTTCCTTCGCTTTCATTTGACGAAACCAATGCCATGAATATTCCAGTGTCCGTTTTGGCAGGATAAAACTACGGCTACTGACTGTTTGTTAGTAGTTGGGTTATGAAACTCTAACTTGGCAAATGTCTAATTGAGAGTATTCGTCTACAGTTGCTCTAGTCATTGGGTAACGATGATTTGGTCTTCGTATCTCTATTATAGTGCTTCAGTTAACTTGATCCCAGTCCTGATGACTTGTAATACACCATTCTTCAGTGAAATTGGCACTGCCTTAAAGCTGTATTCAGAATTAGGGAATTACATTGTCTCATGGTTCCCCTCAACGTCTGCAGGTGGAACCTGTTCGAGTGCCGCACACCGGAACTTCCTGGGCGTATGTACTCTCGCGGGTGGTGGACGGCGGTGGTGAGGCGGCGGCGGCGGCGGTGGAGGGACCAACCTGGAAGGTCGTCTACTCCGGCGACACCCCGCCGTGTTCGCAGTTGGCTGAAGCCGGTCGTGACTGCGACCTCCTCATCCACGAGGCCACCATGGCCGACGGCTACGAGGAGCAGGCGGTTGCTGCCCGACACAGGTATGTCTGAGCCTCCATCTCGGCTTTTATTCCATTGGTCAGTGAGTTGGGCTAGCAAATCAGAGTGGCTGGCCAATAGGAGCGCGGTTGGTGGATTCAACCGATAGTTAAAGAATTTGTTGTTGGTTTCAGCACAACCAGCGAGGCCATCGGCATTGGTCGGATGATGCGCGCGAAATTCATCCTCCTCACTCACTTCAGTCAGCGCTTCTCTCGTTTGCCCAGCTTCGACACATTCCAAGAGGACATTGCTCCTGCCTTCGACTTTATGCGCGTGAGTCTCTTGCCAACTCGGACTGATAACCAATGGCATCACTTGGTGCATTTTCCGTAATTCACGTTTTAGCTCCTTTGTTTGTGTGATTGTGTGACATGTTTCCGGAAATCAGACGAGCTGTTGGTGGCGATAGCGCACGGTGTTAGCAACGGACAAGTAATGTAATAAACGTAGTTCCCTGAGTTCGACTGCCGTCCTCCCGGTGGTGAACACAATCCGTGGCCCACGTCGTGGCATTTCATTGGTTGGCGCACAGCGCCAACTCACATAGCTA